CATGTTTCTTTTTTTTTTTATTGGCCGTCCTTTCGACCTTTAGTAGCAATTTTAGTAGACACAAGACACACAACACAACATAACCTCCACCTCACACTGGTAGGAAAGGAAACTTACTGGTGCGTTACTGGAAGACGGACGCTGGCTGTGCGTACGTTTTGGTTGTAGCGTGGTATGATTCGTCTACAGGCGGGGCGCTCAGTCACAAAACAAAGCATACCACGGTGCCACGCGACGGCTTAGAGACATTACGTTGTACAATAATATGTTCTGTCTTTATGCAAGCAGGTCGGATTTCTCTCACTCCTTTAGCTCTTGTGTCTGCCGTGACTAAAAACTAGCGGCGGGTATCTTTTTAGACAAAACTTAGAAAATAAATAAATAAAATTTTCATTACAACCTATTAAATGTCCTCCGTGCATGCGCACTGTTCCAGGTAGGGCATTTCAACCATTAGGAACGCTGGTGTTTGGTGACAATTTAGGTTATTTAATGTCATTTACTGCCGCTTGGATTTGGAAATGGTATAGACCTGCAGGCCTTACGACAATGAACCACATGCTCGTCATTCGGCAGCGGCACTGCTCGGCGCCGATCAATACGATAATTAAGCTAACCTTCAAAATTGGGTTTGTGTGCATTTGCCGTCACCGCATTCTTTTCTCTTGACGCAGGCTCTACTGAACAATACTAAATTAATCGCATTCCTTGAAAGCCCCAGCCTTTTAATAGTCTGGATTGGGAATAACAGCTATATTTGATAAAGTGTTTTCATTCGGGCTTAATGGCCGTCGTAAGTTGGAATTTCTTCCTGACGTTTCGCTAGCACGCGTGGCTAGCATCTTCAGAGGTGCTTCCATGTCCGGTCTGGTAGCAGACTGACGCAAGTTGTATTTATGTGTTAGAGGTTGTGGTGAGGGAGGGGCGGGGCTTCGCAGCACGTGGCTAATCTGAACTTTCTCTGTAGTCAATGAGATCTTTCTTGCGTTTTTGAGGATCGGCTCCCAAATTTGGTTAAGTTTTAGTGTTTCTTCTTTCTTGTTGAAGTTCTCCGTATGTTTGTGGATTTCTATAGCTTCACGTACAAGACGATTGTAGTATCCGGATGTCGGTGCAAGAAGCTTGACCTCACCAAATAGTATTTCGTGATTCCCTTCACTAAGCGCATGTTCCGCTACTGTCGATTTTTCCGTTTCTCCTAGTCTGCAGTTTCTTTTGTGCTCGTTGATCCTGGTTCCCATGGATCTTTTTGTTGTTCCTATATATACCTTGCCTCATGTGCATGGTATATGATAGACTCCAGCGCTTGACAGTGGGTTCCTCTTATCCTTGGCTGATCTGATTGATTGCTGTACTTTCTTTGTTTGATTGAAGATCGTTTTCATGTTGTGTTTCTTCAAGACTTTCCCTATCCTGCCTGTCACCCGAGAAATGAAAGGCAGATATGCATTAGCCACCACTGGTTGTTCATAAACATTTTGTCGTGGTCCGTTATGGGTCGCATGGCTCTGTCGTTTTCAGATGCATTGTATCCGTTTGATGGAAAGGCCGACTTGGGGTGATCCAGTTCTTGCTTGACATATTGTGGTTCACAGATGTTTCGATCACATTCTGTTTACGTTGTTATAATTCCACATTTTTGCGTTGTATGATGGTTTGAGAGTGCATGCAGGTACCTGTCTGTATGCGTGGGTTTTCGATACACTGTGTGGCTTAGTTTTCCTCCAGATTTCTTTATCTAAGAAGGCGATTTCTTGGTTTTTCTCCTTTTGCATGGTAAATTGTATGCTAGGATGTTGCGCATACAAGTGGCCTAGGAACTGGTTAAGCTTCTCTTCTCCATAACTCCAATCCACAAAGGTATCATCTACATATCGAAGCTATACCGATGTTTTGTGGTCAAAAGATTTGGTAGCTTTCCTCTCGAAATCCCCCGTAATGAAGTTGGCTATGACCGGGCTGAGCGGACTTCCCGTAGCTACATCGTCTACATTGCTCGTAGAAATCGCCGTTCCAGAGGAAATAACTACCAGTGAGACATATTCTGAAAAGCTCAACTATGGCATTGGGGAAGGTACTTGATATCAAGTCAAGAGATTTCGTCAATGAGACTTTTGTGTATAGAGACACGACATCAAAGCTGACCAGGATATCCTTAGGTTGGATAATAATATCCCTAATTTTCTGGACGAAGTGAGGGGAGTCCTTGACGTAAGAGCTGGTTTTTTCTACATGCGGTTGAAGAGGCGATGCAGCGATGCAAGATGTTTCGCTAGGTTGTACGTTGGTGCTCCAGGTGCACTCACTATGGGTCTTAGCGGGACTTTAGGTTTGTGAATTTTGGGTCTGTTAGGGTAGATGACCCAATCAGTTTGTTGGTGTTCCGGAGTATGTCTTGGGTGGGATCCTTCTTTAGCTTTCGGTAGTTAGATGGATCAAGGAGTTCCTGAATTTTCCGGTTGTAGTCTTCAGTTCATAATAATACAGTTGCGTTGCCCTTATACGCAGGTAGGATGATCATATCTTCCGTTGAATTCAGGTTCTTAATTGCCATTACTTCCTTCCTAGAGAGGTTACTGGTTGGTGGTCGGGCCTGTCGTGTCAGCCCACTCAATACGGATTTCTTCTACTTCCACTTCAGGTAGTGCTCTGATGGCTGCTTCAGTGATGGCTATAATCTCCTCCGTTGTCAGGTGTTGTAGAGTGATTGCGAAATTACCGCCTTTTCCCAAGACGGCTGTTTCCCCTTCAGTAAGGACTCGATCCTCGAGATTGATGACTAGTTTGGATTTGTCAGGCGCTGCGGAATTTCAGATTTGTATTCTACAGAACTTCTCGTATTTTTGAATCTGGGCTTTTTCACCTCGATTTAGTTCATAATTCCTGCTCGAGTATGAGATGGTGTCAATTTTGTTTCAATCCTCTGCCTGTACGTTGTTGCTGAGCGTCAGATGTAGGTTAAGTAGTTCTCTATCTACTTCAAACAAATCCTTCCTTGTTTTGTGGATTCACTCTCTTTTTCAGTTTTGGAGTAGATGCGATGTGCTTGGGGTGTCTTAAAAGAGAGTTTAATCTGCAGGAACGTTAGTACGATGTTAGTGTCCCAGCAGAATATGGTAGCCACGCGTGCTAGCGAAACGTCAGGAAGAAATTCCAACTTACAGCGGCAATTGGGCCGGAATTCAACACTTTATCAATAAACCTGGGGCGAAAGCCTCACAAACTTTAACAGCTACCTATATTTGTCACAGACTCCATATTGATGGATACAGTGCGGACCACACAATTATCTATTATCACAGATAGACGGATTTATAAACAAAAATATATGTTGACAACATGTCCGACGCTTTCTATCCTGACGAAATTCCCCCACTACTAAAATGCCACATTTAGTCGTAGGAATATTTATTTTATCTTTCTAACGCAAGTATAAAGTCCTGCCTTTCAATTACACTTGGCAACACAGCATTAGACTAAACGCCTCCCGTTTGTCGTAGTAATACGTTCCGTTCTGGCTCAGAGTTGTCTCTATCCTATGCGATGATGATTAGTATATGTTAAAAAAAGACCGATACATAAGATATGTTCGTGTTAGTCTGGAATACTTTTCGAATATCATCGTTTTGGTTTTGGGGCGGGACCAATTCAGCCTGGTCCATGGCAGGGAACAGCTGTTGAGGCCGGACTTAGATCGGACGACTTATCCCCAAATCCCCCCTGGCCTATAAACATGTTGTCAACACAACAAATAGTATTTTATGAATGGAATACTCTGTCTATCTGTGATAATAGGTCATTGGGACCACAGCATTTTCAGGAATCATCTGAATCATTCTGCCTGTTCGACATTTTGAAGGTGGTGAGTCTTTGACGATGGAGTGAACACATCTTGGGCAATGTGCCAGAGTCAAGTGGTCCATAAAAAGAAGAGAACGGGCGCGTGTGCAAAAAAGTCGTACGGTCGGGCGTTAACTATGAGTGCTAAACGAGGCGGGTAGCCGTCGTCCAAACACCATTCATCAGTGGAAGGGTCTAGGCGAAGGCAGTAAAAGAAAGACGATAAAGACGTGGGTCTCTGATAGGCACCTTTTTGTTGAAGACGAAGACGTGGACCTTTGCCAAAATTCTAAAGACGAAGACAGGCTTGTCCTTTGCCCACCGTAAAACCCTAAAGACGAGACACTTTCTAGTCTTATCCGTAATATCATGCATTCTCAAATTCATTCATCTGGAGGACCTTTAATTCCACCGCCATCACTTATATGTACATACATGCAAAAGCATGAATAATGTATCTTAACATAATTAGGCAGCTATAATGAAAGGCAGGTTCAGAAACTTTCAATATAATAAAACCGCAAAAATAAACTTACAGTGAATGAATCAATACAGGCGCCAGTTTATGAATGTAAAGAAAAAAGCATATATAACGAAAGTTATATTTCCTTCTGTAGAAACAAAGCAACCCCATCACTTATCTCTGAATTTGGCTTTGGACGGGTAAGTGTGAGAAATGTATTGTTCGGAAAGATTTTGTTCGAGTAGCTTCAACGGTTCGTGCTAGTTAAGAGTCACGCGGTGCCCCTAATAAGCTTAAAAATTCAAGTTCAAGAACCAGAATACATATTATACTCTCCTAATTTTTCCAGTAGGTTTCCGTGCCTCTATAACGAGTTCATTAGAACTTAGATTTTGGCAATTGAAGCTTGAAATAATATATCTCTACCATAAGTATGCTGAGGGTTAGGAAAACTGAATTCACTGAGGTTATGGCATCATACGCTGGAATTACAACCATATCAGCTGGATACATATCAAGAGTGATAGAGATATTTAAGCATAGTGACGATTTACAACTACACAATTTTAGTAAATCGCTTTTTAGATGCGATTTTTGCAATACTACATCCTCAGATAAATCAACTTCATAAATATTTTCTAGTTGGAAAATAAATAGCATATTTTCTTTAGCTTTATTAATATGCGGTTGTTTTCAGGAGGAGAAAATCCACACTACACCGACTACGACAGCGGTAGCGGAAGCAGTGGAAAAACCTCGAAGGTGGAACCGCAAAACGCCATCAACATTTTAAACAGCGTGCTCTTGCGAAAATCCGTCATATCGAAGCTGAGCCGTTACGACTTAATGCTAGGTGTCGTCAAGGCGGAGGCATATTTTGCTTTTAATGGCGAAGACGTGCAGGTAACAAACTTTAATTTTATAAACTATTCAATATATGTAACGTTCACTTTTTACAAATATGTAATCATTACAAATAACAACAAAGTGAAAGTTTTTATAAGAAATTAACTTCAAATAATTTTTTTCTCCCAAGTAAGTAGTTTTCCAACCGCAATCCTAAAAATATGGCATAGGAATTTGTTTTCTCTGGAAATACATTTTCAACTTTCCATAATGAAAGAAAACAATTTGCTATTTTACACTGATGATTAACTCCGACGTTTTATATCCCAAAGTACTATATTTTACACTCCAAGAAATATTCTGCAAAAATATCTATTTTCTACGCGATGTTGACGCAAAGTTAACGTCTAAATCTTTCTCCCCCCGAAAAGAACAGTTCATGACATGATATTCGAATTTAATAACAGTTGAAATAATGTGATAGGAACTGTGAACCTGTGACAGAATACCTAGTTATTTTCGACATACCTTTTTGAATTATAGAAAATTGTGACTTAATTATTTAAGTGAACTAGTATCTTATCAAATAAAGATTGATCGGAAGAAAATGTTTTTTGAAAAAAAAAAAATGTTTCTCCATCACCGGAACGAATTTCCAAAGAAATAAAAACCCATCAATACATCAGCTGCAGCTGCTGAGAGATCATTATAAATAAATTGAAGTTGAAAGTGCTGAAGAGAACCATTTTGATTGCTTTTGTTATAAAGGAAAGTACGGGTCGGGGCTATTCGTGTTATTTCTAAATAGATTCTGCTCAAAAGTGAGGTTTTATTTTAAATGTTTCAAAAATACGAGTTTATAAAAGAAATAATTCACTAACGCCTTTTCAAAGAAAAAAAAGGACCAGACCGTCATCACAGCTACAAAGTAGAAACAGAAAAAACTCACCCTGGCGTCAAATGCAGCCGTGGAAAAGTTCATTATAAAACAATTTGGAGTCAGTAATGTTTTAAAGGGCCCGCTTTTGAGGATGGCATATGAAAAGAAGTAGCTGCAATCGATCGATGTCGGCTCACTTCCGGCCGATAACTCAATTACAGAACGCGGGGGCCGAACAATGGCAGTTGGCAGAGTTTCAAGACGACCGAATTATGATTTATCCCATGGCGAGATACCGGAAATTGCATCGTTTGAATTCAGTTTAATTTCGATAGGGCGAATTGTGGGAGTGCGATGGCTGATTGGTCTTTCCAGATTAATTTTTTGTTAGTCCAGAACTCCCTGGACAATCTGGAAGCAGTAATAATTCATCAGTTTTATTTTCAATTTGTATGTTCCGACGATCAAGTATGCATGAAACAGCAATCATGATTTCAAAAATAATGTAATATCAAAAGGATATTTGTTTGGAGGTAGTAGATAACGTAACCGAGTTAATGTGTAATAGTGGGACTAGGACCTAGTTTTGATCACCTGAGAGCTGCATGAAAATCGCGAAAAACAACTGGTATGGTACGGTCATGTACCGGATGTTGTTTATCATTGATATCTCAATTGATATTATTTTGATCATCCGTACATAAACAATGTTTATACAGGTGATCAAAATGATATCAAAGATAAAAAAACACAGTGTACAGACAACGAATGAAAAATGGTAGAATATTAAAACGACTCACAGTTGAAGAAACTATCCAAAATATTTCTCATTGAATGAAAAACTTAGGTAGGTAGTGTAACGTTCCAAAATCACCATTAGAGGTTTTACTAGCTTTGGGGTTAGGTACTTGTTTTGAAACCGTTTATTTTCCGCCGGCTAAACTGGCTGTCTGCAAACAAAGGAAAATTAAACATAAATATACGAACGAAATACTTACTTTACTTACCTTGTTCCAAGAGCTGGGGCTTCCTTGATTTGACTCGATGAGTTGTTGTCATGGTGAGAGTAGGGATGGCTTTATTTTGGCACTTCGGTATTTTCTTTCTTATCTAGAAATAATTCATATATTGACTATAATTTTATAATACAGAACTTACCTTGGGATTTTCTAAGTTTGTTTTGGTCGGCTTGCTGATATCAATAATCATCAGCTGATTGTATTTGTAACATCATCGGCGCTGCGTTCACGGGTTGACTTACACTAGATCGTATCGATTCGCCGAGTATAGTCCAACACATACCATTTTAAAGTCACGTGATTTTTCTCTATCCTTGTTGAATACATCTCAAACAGCGGTGATAGTAAAATTGACAAAAAAATTGCTGTCTAATTATTGTTCATAAAATTCTTACCTGAAATAGAATCCGTCACTGTCATCAATTAGTTTGTCAAAGTTATTTTAGAAAATGATACAACGAACAAACACAGCTAATAATTTTGACTATATTAACCTTTTTCCAACTCAAAAAGATGCAAATAGAAAACAGGTACCCAATTCAAGTTCAGAATGTATTACAAGGGGCAGCAGAAGCGACGAAAGTGAGTCTCGCAACAATTGCAAGTATTAAAATTCTCATCTGATTCGTCAATACTACTTCAGAAACGCGTTTGTAAAATGCTAGTGGGAACATATCTTAAAATTCAATAGTAATTAACCACAAGTAGCTTTTTGTAGGTGATATCAACGACATAATCAACGAACATGCGTTTTTTGCCACCAATATCACGTGACTTTAAAATGGTATTTGTCGGACTATACCTACACGGAATACTCGGAACAGGGAACAATATTTTGAACTAGGTGCACTAAGTGCAATGCTCGAATTTGTTTCTACCCCATTAGTTCTGTTGCTACTCCACTGGTGTTGTTGCTCGCTGTAGCAACCTTGTTTTCTCTTGACGTTGTTTCGTGTGTATGGCGCATGTTCTCACCAGGCTAGGTTTCTTTATTGGAACCCTGGCGAAAATCTTTCTTCTTCTCGAAACCTTCTAGAACCACCGACATCTTGTTTCTAGACCCATTTTAGAAATCCAAAGTCCATGTGCAAGTAAATTTTTTGCCAAGTGTCCATCCATTGTGGGATTTATTTTACTGAGCACACAAATAAAATAGTTCTGTTAAATTCGTTCAGGCTGCTTTGCTGGTGCTTTGTTGCACGTTGTTGGCACTGTTTTACCTCTAGTAGGGATTTTGTTGTAACTTTGGTAAGTTGGCACGTGTTGTACTTTAATTTGGGCTTAGTTTCTTTATTACTTCTTCTTGCCACATGGCAACTACGTTGTCCGAGTTAGGAGAGAGGCACCACCACAGGGGTTTCAAGTTTTTCAATCCACAAGTAATTTAGATGAGGGCCAATCCACGTGATGCCCGTGTCATCGTTTTGAATTCATATATCGAGCTCCGAGTCGAGGACTGCTGCAGCGAAGTTACAAGTTGCAATCCTCTTCCATCAGGCCTATTCTGGTTTGAAACCCAGTCACGCAGTCAGACACACACAAGTCAACTAGAAGTAATTATGAACGACGTATCAAGTAAGATAACTTAAGCTATTCTTCTTGTCGAAACAAGGGAAATTCCAAAACTTCAAGTACTTGACTAAGTTATTAACCGTAATCCAACAGAACAAGAAATTACAGCCCTTCTTTAAAACTACTCTGATACTTGAGTTATATTTGCAAAATTACATGGAGTTAATTTACCAGTATTTATACTCATATAAATGGATGATACATAAATAAAATAGGAATAAATGATTAATTCCTGAAAAAGTAAAATTTGTCAAGTTTTGTGTTTTTTTGCCGGTAGTTTTCTTAAATCATGTCCATAGAATAAGGTTTATAGTGGGTATAGAATGGACAGTCCCATTATACGGGTCGGACAACCATTTGTGGCGCCATCTGTTGTCTATGAAATGAGCTCATCCCATTGTAGCAGCTTGAGCAGTTTGCTTCTTATTTTTTTCAGATTTACTTTTTATTTATTTTATAATAAAGACACAATTTGATACAAATTTAACAAATAACGGTTTATTAAAAAGAAAGAAGAAAATTATGTTGGCTTTTCGAAATGGGTGTCCCTAATCACCCGGATCTTCCGGTTGAATATTTTTTTTTATTAGCCCGGAATTTCCGGATTATTATTATATTATGTTATTATTATATATGAAACTAACCAAAAATATGCAAACTAGCCCAAACTAACCCAAACTAACCCGTCCACGTAATGCGTATTAATCCTTGCATGTATTGAATTTTAAAAAAAAAACAGCGCGCTTTGCGCGCTTTGTTATTGACTAGTAGTCCAGTACAGTTATAACCAGTATTAAATGAACTGCAACGAAACTAACCAAAGATATGCAAACTAGCCCTAACTAAACCGTCCACGTAATGCGTACTAGTCCTTGCATTGTCGAAAAAATTCAAATATCGAAAATTTTCGAGGTCGTTTTTCTCGGAAACGGTGCCCCCTGAAGGGATACTTCTTATAGGCTTTTTTGTATTACTCGACGAGATCTATAAGTTTTACATTTGAAGTTTTTCTTCCAAGCTTTCCGTTTTCGAGTTAGGACGGTTTGAAAATTTAAAAAAAAAATCGAAGGGTCCCTTTGAATTTTTTTCTCGAAAAAATTCAAATATCGAATTCCAAAAAAAAATAAAAAATCTATCGGATAGAGTAGCAAAAAATACGTCAAAAAGTAAATTTGACTCTCCTCGCTACGATACATCTTAAGGCCGAAAAAAAATAAAAAAGGAAATTTCGATATTGATCAGAAAAAAATTGTGGGAATCCGACACGAGGCCAGTTTTTCGCCTATAACTCCGCTATTTCTTAACCGATCGTTTCGAGTCATATCTCATTTGAAAGAGGATGAAATTATCGGGAATAATACCACGAGAGCTTCAAAATTACCGATAATTTTTCACGATTGCGTGTTTTCTATAATTTTGCAGAGAAAACACGCATGAGTGAGAAATTATCTGGTTCATTTTAAAGCTCAAGTGGTATTTAGAGGATTATTTCACGTATGAAAATGCAAAAAATATGAAAATAAATATGTATTAAACGATTTGAACATCTTAACAATCAATACAAATAAATGGTTGCTATCAGGAACTGTTTGTTTGTATCAAAAATTAGCATGACAACCATGTATACAATAACATGGGAGAATTATCGCTGTAATTCTCTCTAGTTAAACAAATGGAAAAGAGAATTTTCGCTGTAATTCTGAAAACCGTCACTTGTCTTATGGGATTTCTAACACATGAGTGGAATAATCTACAAAATATTTTTTTATTGAGATTCCAGACCGTTTTTGTCTTTGAGATATTGGCCGTCAAAGTTGAAATTTCTTGTAATTTTGTTAAAATTTTCGAGGTCGATTTTCTCGAAAACGGTGCCCCCTGGAGGGATACTTCTTTAGGCTTTTTTGTAGTACTCGACGAGATCTATAAGTTTTACATTTGAAGTTTTTCTCCAAAGCTTTTCGTTTTCGAGTTAGGACGGTTTGAATTTTTTTGTCGAAAAAATTCAAATATCGAATTCCAAAAAAAAAAAATTCTATCGAATAGAGGACCAAAAAATACGTCAAAATAGTTATTTATGCAACAAGTGTGTAAAGTGACTCATGTGATTGTCGCACTCGCCTTCGGCTCGTGCGTCAAAATTCACATTCGTGAAAAAAGGTGCTTTACGCACGTATTGCATACAAAATTTTTTCTACTACCAATCAAATATTTGTAAAAAATAAATTTGAACGAATACTTTACGCACTAGTGCGTAAAGAATTTTCAGTTTACGCACTAGTGTGTGAAGTAATTTACCAGAAAAATGCCAAGAGTGTCCAACATTTCACGCTTTAGGATGTTTTGTTCACTCCCGGTATCGATATACACCTTAAGTTTCCTTTGAGCTCCTTAACAGTGTCAACAAGTCTCACCTGACTGTGCTTTGCCTCTGGAATCACACCGGATCCACCAGATGGTCCGCCCGTCCATTTGGTGCAATTGAACCTATCATGCCTGGTCTGTCCACATCGTATACACCTGTCCGTCTTAGGTTTTGGACAGTTCCGGCTCACCTGGTTGCCCATCTGCTGACAATTATTACACCTGATTCCAGTCTTTGTCGTCGTCCTGCCGCCTGCTATTGCTCCGACTTCGAAACCTTAGAAACTGTAGTACTGTATGTGGTTGGACTTCGCCTCTTTAACCTTCCATTAGGCGCGCGAGTTTTATAACATCATTAGTCGCGGTGTATCACAGAGATACATATACTAAATCAATGATAAAAAAATTGAACCATCTGATGAATTTCGGTTTTACAATTTCTATGTATTGATTCGGGTACTCAACAATCAAAGATAGAATATTTTCACTGAAAAAGAGATTCCAGAAGTTGAATTCTATTTTCGCAGTCGTTGCAGTTTCGCCCACAACGCCCGGCAGCTTTAGCATAATATAGGTACAAAGCCGAGCGCACCCGGAGTTTTTTGGAAATTCCAAATTTCCAGGTAGAAGTACGACCATGTAATTTTGGGAAAGTAATGAGTATAGGGTGCCTGAGGATTACTGCCAGCCATAATATTATAGGGTTTTTCCTTTTTGATTTATTTGCAAAAATAATAGGCATGTATCTCTCAGATACACGCGCGACTAATGGAGGGTTAATTCCGCGCTACTGGTAGATGAACACCAGTATCTGTCAAAAGAAGATAAAAAGCCAGTGTACAAATCGCCAGGGGAGGAGCAACTAAACGCCCTTGCATTCCCTTGTAACTCTACTGGCAAACCGTCAATCAGACACGAAAGCGCTTTGTGCCTGGATGCAATTCGATCCACCTGCTAGAGTTTCTGGACTCCCTAGGAGACTGTATGTATGAGGCGACCACAAACAGTAGCACAGCCCTATAATTTAGTTCGACGAGGCTGTGGAGGGGGCAACTCCTAGTCACCGCAATTAACCGAACCTCTAGGGAATGGCTGCTCAAGGAAGTACCTAGTCTAAGACCCTGGGGCAACGAAGTAACACCTGTCATTTTAGCATGATAATTATGGGTCATGTTTTCGCCATTCAATTTAACCCTCGCCATCATTTCCTTAAGCAGCTGTGCAAAATCCTGCTACCTAGAGAACGCCTTCTTAAGAGCTGTCTTCCAGTCATCCCATGAGAGGTCGTACTTATCCAGCCGATTATACCAGCCCCTTGGGTCGCCTCACAATTTTGCCTGCATAAAATAAGCCCTCTCATAGTTTGACCAGCCATGAATATCGTCCAGTTGGTCAATTTTATGTAGCCATTCAACTACATTACACTTCTGGCTATCAGAATCAAAAGGTCCATTGTCAGTTACAATTTATCGAGTAAATAGAAGGAATGAAAGTTACTCGATCACAAATTTTTATTTAAACGACATTAGATTAAAATAACATCTATAAAAATAAACACATTAAAAAATACTGAGCTTATGAGTATTGACAGTATTTAAAATCTTCACTATCGACACGGAAAATTTTCGATAGCAAGCGGAAAATTTTTGCTTCTACTGGGCAATTATTACTAGCAATTTCTCTAGTGCGTCACTGCTAGTTGTCGGGGTTTCTGAACATCGATATCTCATAAGCACGGGATATTTTTTATTTAAATAGGTATTTTCTAGGTTTTCAGCTTCAGCTGACCCCACGAGAGACATACCTACCTCGAGACTACCTACGTGTCTTTTAATTTCCTTCTTTGACGGTTCTCTGCCAAGTATCAAAAAAAGGGTTTTCGTTTCTGAACCTAGGTCCATCGCGCGGGAACGGGAAACCAAACAGTGTCTTTGAACCGGAACCAGGTACGATAAACTTGGTTCTGACACCAGAACGGAGAGTATCCACTCTCTAAGCGCAGTGCAATTCGTTAGGCGTTCAAAATGAAATTTATAATCGACACTATTGTTATGACGAGATAAAGATAAAAGGAACTTATTATATGCCAGTGACATGTATGTTACAAGGAGATTAAAAAATAAACCAGCTGTTTCCCAATTAAAGTCTAACCGCTGACTAGACACAAATAATCTTACTCCGATAATGTTTCTTTTTTTTTGCAGTACGGCATCGAAGCAGACCGCCGAACAAAAATTCTGCGGACCTTCGTGAAAAACACGTACAGCTACCACCTCAGCGAAATCCTAGCGACGATTGTTAACGAATACACTGATTGGGAAAGGCCCGTTCAGCACCCAATCAATATAAGGGACGAGACGCTGGAGGCGCTGTCGGACGCACAGTTCGTCGCTCCAGTTGTGCACACTGCCGATTTGCATTCAGCCGAACACCGGAATTCCTATCTCTATGTTTTCGATTATCAAACGAAGTTCGGAGATTATCCCCAGGTATGTATAGAACAGACTCATATACCTACTTTTTTATTTCTAAAAAGATGGATATATTTCAACGTACACGTTGTGGCCATGGGCTACTTTGATCTATTTCAACTCCAGCTATTCCTTTTTTTTTGTAATGTTTGCATTTGCTGTGAATTTGTGTTGTCCAGTGATCAAAATAAAGGAAACAAAATATTATGCAATATGTATTTCTAGAAAATAAACAGTATAACATGAAAGTGTAATGTGGTAACGCAATTGCGTAGTCATAGTATTACCTCTAAGCGGCTGAACCTTATAAATTTCAAGAAAAAAAATGTTTGGCGCACGAAGGAAGTGTAACTTCTTCCTCAACAATTAGAATTATTAGTAGGTATATTTTATTTCTAACAAGAGATAACTATTGAAATAGTGAGGGTGTGGGTATGATATATAGCAAAACAATTGAAGCGTAATGTATTGAAATATATTATACAAGAAATTATATTTATTGAATTTGACATGAATATGCATCAATCATGGTAATTTTGATGAGTAGACAACCCTAGCAACGTTACGCGAATTCCATAGCACCCCGGCAGTGTCATTTCTCCCTCTCCCCTGCCTTCTGCCTTCACAGTCTTTCCCACTAATACGTAGATGCTATATAGGCTACGCTACGCAACCATTTCCCCTCTTGCCGTCTCCCAATCAAGCTTGTGCGTATCCCCCTCTGGTCCCCGCTGACGCACTGTTCGTACTCCCCTCACGCGATCGCAATTCTCGTAACGCTCGTAAATTGTTGCCGCCGAACCAATATGTTTCCAGCTATGCTATTTTACCTACACAAATTATGTTCTAGCTTGAACAGTTCAGATGAAACCCAAAAAACAAAGCTTCGGCAATATTTAAGAAAATAATTTTCGCCAAACGAAGTTTATTTACATATAGAAAATATCAATTAAACCAAACTTTGTTTCACTTTTCATTATTTTGCTTTGTACAAGCCACTCTAGTTTCAATTTTTCAATACCTACCCATACAATGTATTTGAATGCGCATTTTTTGTAGTATTTAAATCACAGCAACAAAATGCTGGATTATACGCTCCCCTACGTCTCAAAAATACAGCAATCGTACACCCCATGTAATTTCTAATGTCGGCGGGTAAACTTTTTCCTGGGATTTTCCCTAGTTCCTGCCGCAACTTAAATTATTATTCATGCGATTTATTTCGGTTCCCGGTAGTTTTATATTGTTGCCAAATGTTCCACTACATTCAATATTTCGATTTTAGAGTAAAATATTGTTTTGCAACTTTATAGCAGAAACATTAAAGAAAGATAGTTCGCAACTTCTGCGATCTAATCCTGAAAATATCGATTAGAACGAATTTAGGTGCGAATTCGAAACTTGGCGTGCTTTAATACGACCATACTAATAACGCGGCATGTTTCCAGTAATTTTGCCAGGGGTGATTTTCTATTGATTACTTTTAGGTGTTTCAAATTTATACGTATGTCAGGTCCAAGAGAATCAATACATCGGCCAAAAATTATAAATTCTCAAGCCGCTTCTGTGAAATTCTGATTTTTGATTAAGAAAACTTAAAATTTAATTTCCTTGAGAAACTCATTAATTTTCATAAGGCGAAAAGTTGGGGAGCAAACAACTGAAACAAAAAAACTGGAAAATCGTTTAACAGAAAATTTGCATTTTTCCGCCGACTTGGTGGGCGACGTGACTATAGTAGGTCAAGCATGGCATAAAATCCGCGAAAAATTAAATTAATTAAAATATTGCCAGCATGCGAAATCAGGAAAAATCCATTAGTATCTACTGGTTTATTAATTTGAAATTCGAACCAGCGGCTTTTATTAAGTTTTTTTAATTTATCCTCTTAATATTCAGAAACACACTAGAAAAACATCATGAAGGAGGAATTTTTTAATATCGAAAATTTTAATTGATTTCCAAACTAATTGGAAATTTTTCAGCATTTTTTTTTGTTTTTTGTATGACTGTAACGGTGAACAGTTAATTTAAAGAGTGAGAGTTCGTACATATATCATACATATTTCATCTAGAACAATGAAGATGAGCGTACTTTCTAAACTTATCGAACAAAGGTGCTCGGTGTAGTACATATCAACCAATAGATTATTTCTTTATTAAATTATACAGGGTGTTCCGAAACTATTGTGCCACCTTGCACACGGAGAAACGTGTTTGAAGCAGAAACTGTATTATTAAATAATGCAAAACCCAAGGAATGATTGCAGCATTTATTGAAAAAAAAAAAATCATATCAAAAGATGGTCAAAATTACGATCACCCGCCTCAATGCATGCGTGACAGCGCTGTAGCAGAAATATCGAGTAGATTTCTACAGGAAACCCTTCCAGTACTGTTAGATGTTCTCCTATGCGAGACAAAACATGTGGTACCAACGCGACGGATCTCCTCCACATTACTCGTTAGCCGTGCCGTAAGGCCGTAAAGGAAAGGGAAAATCTCAACGAAACTTAATCTGAAAATATAGTGATTGGTAAGGGCGCATTATCAATGTTCTTGGGTTGTTACCACTGAAAAGAAACTCATATCTTAATAGAATCTTCTGAACTTCAACATAATATTCTTACAAATTATTACATCAATAACGATAATGAAGGCTATTTAAATGACGCTTCCTTAATGCTTGAATTTAGTCTGGTACCTCTGCCATTTCTGGTAAAGTGAAGATAATTAATAAAGTTGAAAATTTTATTGGATTAAACGCAGGCGAAGGCCTGTCAAATTTACCATGGTTAATTACCAAGTCTAACATCGTATCGTAGGCAATATCTTGCACATCGCTTCAGGGAACTCTTGGAATAATTATCTCGAGGTGCTATAATATGTTTGTACGTGTAATATTCATAGTTTTAATGGGTTTCTAAGCCTTAGGCTATTTAAAAAAAAAAATATATATGTATATTGTAGAATGCGTCTCTGGCATTCGAAGATAATAATTAATTATTAGCCTATTCATATGAGTAGGTAGGAGTTTAATACACCTAATAAATTTGTCCTAATCCGATTTCCATCTTACTTCTAATGAATAGATGTCCTAACTCAAATTTACAATATTCAAACTTGCCAAAGCAATAATTCAAATATTTTCCCAAGGCGCAATCGCGAACAACTTTATAAAATAAGATAAAGCGGCACCTGAAACATAATGTATACCTATATAGTAGGATCATATTAAATTTGCACCCCAGTTCACCAAGGGATGTTTTGGGGTTATCTTGGATAATATAAAATAAGACCGCCCTTGCCACCTGAGAATTATTAATCACTCTGTTTATTACGAAATATTCGGCAACGAGATTATATTTGTGATAAATGATGATTGAGTTATGTGCAGGATGAGTTCTATGTCTGGCCTAGTTTTTCACTTTATTTTTACTATTAACAATAAATGTTTGTTAAATGTTTTTTGGTCTTCCACTATAATCAGGAATTATAACTACATAAAAAAGTTAAAAATAACCGTAACTATCTGAAAAATCTAGAATAATGTAACGCTCTTTTGTCGAAACAAAAGAATGCTCATAATTGTGCTCGACTATGCTCAGTGGTTCTTCAGCTTGGGGTGGTCCTTGGTGTTGGTACAGTAAAGAGAGGGCACCACTAGTTTGTCTAAAATTATTTTGATTATAAAAGAATAGCCAAACTAGACACTATTCGAATAATTAGCTATTATATAAAAAGATAAATTCAAAAATCTGAAAAGGTAAAACAAATCTAATACCTATCCGACATTTAACCCCTTCAATAAAAACACAAGTTTTGGAATTCTAAAAACAATAATGTATTAACCAAATGGAAAACTTGATGTTCATTAACAATTTGTTGACTGGATGGCGAACTTGTTGTTCATTACATTGAAACAGATAATTATTTTAAAGACGATTATTGTTCAGCATCCAATTTTAATTTAAAAAACTAAGCAGCTTTCGGAAGCAAAACTTAATTCAAATGGATATATAAAAGGACTGAAATTTAGAAACAATTATAAAGATACCTATTATCCGTTCACAATCCGATGTCCACAGGTAGGTACAGGTAAAATCACCTTTCAATGCTATTTGATAGGGAAAGGTGATAAATTTACCTGCACCTGTGGACATCGGATTGTGAACAGGATATACGCTGAGAACTACCTAAGTATAAATATTGAAGTCAAAATACAATTGACCTTTAATTTTTGACTCAAAGTCAATCAAATCAATAGAAAACAAATTAATCAATGCAGAAAGTAGTAAATAATCCCTAGGCAGTTATAAATATCAAAAACCTGCTAAATGAAATCAGGGGTCACGGTTTCGGGGAGAGCTCTACCTTCTTACCTTTAAAGTTCAAAATAGGTAAACATAAAACTAAAATTTGATTACCTAAAGATTTCACATTGGTTAACCTTGTAAAACTACCACATCATTGATTTGAAATTAAAAGTTAAATTAACCTTTTAAAGGTTAATGAATCCACAATATATTATATCGATCAGTACTCGATATAAAGGAAATAAATTAATAATAATTATAATAATGCATAATTATTAGATACTTAATGAATAATGATAAAGAAAACGATAAGGAAACTTAATATTTGACTCTGATAATAATTAATTAATTAAACTAATAATTAATTAATTGTAAACGGTAGTTAGCTATTATAGCTAAATACTACTATACGGTAAACGAAATAAGTCGGTAATTGAATTTACAAAGATATTAATTAGCTAATAAAGCTAAACGATAGGGGGCGATAAAGAATAGGTAAAAAATGAGTTACAGTAATTAAGATGGCACGTTTAAGACGCCCATAGGTAAATAATTATACAAGCCTGGACGGAATCCTTGTAAAGCCTCGGAGGTTTTCACAAATTTGAGATCTGGAGGTACCAAACTGGCTGGAGGCAACCAAATAATGGTTGGGGATCAACTTCTTACAGAACACCAACATTCCTTGAAAAGGGTGCCCAG